TGCCCGAGCTGAATGCCATGACCGTGCGGTACGCGGCGCCCGAGGTGATCGGCGCCTTCCAGCGGGGCATTTCGCTGGACCGGGCGGCCTTCCTGCCGGCGGACATCTTCAGCGCGGCGGTCATGCTGCTGGAGTGCCTCACGCGCGCGGTCCCCTGGCCAAACATGGACATGCAGGGGATTGTATCCGCCGTGCAGGCCGGCCAGCGTCCGGGCGCCGACGCGCTGCCGGTCGCCGTGCAGGACCTGGTGCGAGCCGCCTGGCAGGCGGACCCCGCCATGCGGCCCCATGCGGCCAGCGCGCGGTCCCCTGGCCAAACATGGACATGCAGGGGATTGTATCCGCCGTGCAGGCCGGCCAGCGTCCGGGCGCCGACGCGCTGCCGGTCGCCGTGCAGGACCTGGTGCGAGCCGCCTGGCAGGCGGACCCCGCCATGCGGCCCCATGCGGCCACCCTGCGCCAGCAGTGTGCCGCACTGTTCGTGGCCGTCGGCGGCCTGGGCCAGTGAGTTACCCTCCGGCGTACCGCCCCGCCCCTGTCCATGAAACACCGTAACCGGTGCCTGGGGCGGGATACCACCAACACGGCTGCCACCTCCGGGTCGCCAACCGAAGGGACCCAACACCAGCCCCTCCCGAGAAATGTGCCATGGGACAGGAGCACATTTGTGGCTATTTTTGAATTATAATTGTGGCAATAAAGAAGGCCCTTGGTGTTTTCAGGCACGGCCACCTCCCATGCTGCTTTGCCAGAATGCCCCAGATTCACCAGACTGAGCCTCGCCCATTTGAGCACAATGGCGAGGGGGGGCGTCCCGCGCACTGGTCGGGGGTGGGATCCGCCCCCGCAGGGGCCTCTTGCGCGAGCCCCGAGCTCCGGGGCGGGTGACAATCAGCAGGGAGCCAACGCCACACCACTCCCGAGGTGATACCCTCCGGAGTGTCGCTCCGGCGGGGCGCCGGAGAGGCCTGGCACCACTTCGCGGCAGGGCCGTGCGCGGTCTCCTGCGCGGTCTCCTGCGCGGTCTCCTGCGCGGTCTACTGCGCCGCTCGGCCTCGGCGACATGCCGCCGGCCGCGCAGCCCGAGCACCGTCTCATCCCCGCGCCATGGTCCACCGGACGGGCGTGGCCTTCCCCGTGCCGGGGCGTGGCTGCTCGCCACCGGTCGGCCCCGGGGACCGCGCGTGTGCCCAGGCGGCCCTCTGCACAAGCATACACTCGCGCCGGTGCAGCTCGCAAGGGCGCGGCCGAGGCCCCTCCCATCGCCGGGGGCTGGCGTGGCTCGAGCGACGCCAGCCCGGCTGCCCGCGCCTCGGGCCACGCCGTGCATCGGTCCGCGCCCTCCGGTGCCCCTGGGGCCCGGGGCATTTGCCGCGGCCCGGCCTCCTCACCCGCATGCCTCTCCGCTGCCCGGCGGCCGGATCCGGCGAGGCGACCCTGCCGGGCCTGCTGCTCTGCCGGCCCCCGCCGCTCGCAGGGTCTCATCGTCGGAGGGTCCTCGTCGCCAGGCGAGCACCAAGCTGCCAGACTCTCCGTGGCTGTGCGCCTCGCGCCCACGCCCCCTTTTTTTTTTTTTATAGGCCTCGCCCCCCGCCTGGCGGGCTGCATGCGCGACCGCGGCTCGCCGGATGGCCGAGCGCGTCGGCCGCCCGGCGCCGAGGCTTGCCGTGCTGCTGCGAGTCCGTGTCGAACCCAATAGCCGCCCTCTTTTTTTTTTTTTCGCAAGGGGGGGCATCCTGCGCGCGGGGGGTGCCCTTCTGTCGGATCGCCGGCCTTCGTGGCCTGCCGGATCGGCCCGTTCAAGGCCGGGCTCCTGGCGCATGCCCCCTCACGGGCGGCCTCGGCCAGGCAGCTCTCGGCCAGGCAGCTCTCGGCCAGGCAGCTCTCGGCCAGGCAGCTCTCGGCCAGGCAGCCGGCGCCCACGCTGCTGGCCTTGCGCCGTCGGCCGGAGACCACGCCCGCACTCGCTCCCGCCAGGCCTTCCCCCGCCCCGCCCCGGGGGCGCGCGTGAATGCTGCCCGCCCCCGCCGCCGGTGCTGGCCGCCGGCGTACACCATGATCTGTGCGCTCTCCAGCGCGAGCGGGTCCGGGCGACGCGACGAATCGCGCCCCGGCCGCCGCACCGAGCATGCGGCCGACCCCCCCCCCATATGAGGCCGGACGCGCGCCCCGACTGCGCGGGGCCGGCGCCCGGGCAGACCACCGCATCAGGAGGGCCAACCCCCGCCGGACCGGGGGACTTACTGCCAACTCTCAGTACTACACATCAAGGACGTGTGCCCGCCGGTGCCTGGCGCCCTGTCTGCGCGGCAGGGACACGCGGCTTGCCACCCGGGCCAAAGCGCGGGAGGGCACCCGCCGGCCCCCCCCCCCCCCCCCGGCATCCCGGCTGACCGGGAACATCCCGCCCAGCTCCGGGAGCCGGTGGCCCCGGCGGGGAGGGCGACCAGGTGAGACCCGCCGCGGCGGCGGCTCCGGCGGCAGCTGGGCTGGCCGCCAGGGGTCCCGCGCTCGGGCGGCCCGTGCGCCAGGTCATTGGACCCGGCAGGGGGTCCCCCCCCCCCCCGCGTTCGGCCGTGGCCGGCCCCTCCCGCGGGTCGGGCTTCTCCCACGGGGGGGGGGGGGGGGGGGGGGGGGGGCCAGCCCCCGCATCTGGACCCTCGGGCGCGGTGGCGTGCGCCCGCGGCTCGGCACCGGCTGCAGGGGGCCCGGCAGGCCGCGGGCGCGCGTGCCCTCGATCTCGGCCCTCGTCGCCCGGACCGTGCCCCGGGCTGGCTGGCCCCCTTCCCGCGGAGCAGCACGACCACGCAGCGCCGCGAGCGGGGCGCATAAGTGAAACATTCGCCCCGCCGATTCCGGTGCCCGAGACGGCCAGCCGCAGCCCCCACCACACCCCCTCGCGACAGAGTCCGCTCGCCTCCTGCCCTTGACATCCCGCGCCTTCTCGTCCCCGCCCCCCGCCCCCGGGATCCGACATGCTGCCGCTGGCCCTGGCGCTCCTGCTGCTGCTGCTGCTGGGCCTGCGCGCGGCCCCGACCCGGGCCGCCCTCGGGCCGGACTTCCCCCTGTACGCCGGGCCGCACGCGGTGCTGGCCCTCCCCCAGGATGCGGTCTTCATCACCCCCTACAAAATGCCCTCCATCGCCAATGGCCGGCTGGGGCCCATGGGCATCGTCCAGTTCAACCAGGTTGACAAGCTGCACTCGGTGTCGGAGACTCGCTGGGGCACCTTCTTCAATCCGAAGCCCCACAAGTCCAGCAACCACCTGCAGCTGGCCGGCCCCGACCCGCCGGACATCATGTACATCCCGGTGCCGCAGACCTTCCAGCCGGAGATCCTTTTCCACACCCCGCACAAGGTGTCCATCTACTTCACCACCCCCGTGGACCGGCCCCTGCCGGAGCCCGAGACCCGCATCCTGGGCGCCCAGTCGGCCGGGCCCGGGGTGGTGGATTTGGTCGGACTCATCGGCGAGCCCGGGCCCGACCGCCTGCGAGAGCTCTACGTGGCAACCCTCTCCGCGGGGTCCCTGGACCGGGCCTTTTCCGACATGGTGATGCTCCAGGACCCGGTGCAGGTGGTCCCCGGCCCGGGCCGGTCTTTCTACATCTCCGACAGGGAGTCCCTCTTCCGGGTGAGTGCCTCCTCCGGGAGTCCCTTTACCATGTCCCTGCTGACGCCCCTCCCCGGGCCCCTGGACCAGCTGGTCGTCTCGCGCTTCCTGTCCGCGCATGCCGACTGCCCGGACGCCGGGGACATGCTGGGGCTCCGGCCGACGGGCCAAATCGACCTGCAGTTCTGCTTCGACGGCAACACCATGAGCCACTCCCTGTTGGCCCCCCTCCCGGCGGAGGCATCGCCCGGGGGACGCATCTTGGCCGCCCCGGCCGGCTCCCTGGACGAGGCGGTGCCCTGGTTCCTCTACCTGGAGCCGGGCCCCTATGGGGTCCTCTGGCGCGGGACCATCTCCCTGGGCGGCATCGCCTGGCAGCGGGTCCTCCTCCCGAGCATCGTGTCGAACAATGCCCACCTCCCCGGCCCGGGGGGCATGCATCTGGTCCGCCTGCAAATGAGCCCGGGATCCCCCGGGCGCTGGGTCCCCCTGGTCGGGGACGTGGCCCTCTTCGACGCCGAGACCTTCGGCTGCGATGTCGATCCCAGCATCGTCTGCAGCGCCCCGGGGACGCCCATTCTGCTGGAGCGCAATTGGGCATGCGCCGATGATCGTGCGATGGCGCCCTTCGTGTCGGCGCAGCAGCTGTGCGCCGGCTGCCAGAATGGCTTCTACTTGGACCGTCTGGTCGGTGCGTGGTGCCTCTCTTGTCGGGCCTTCTTCCGCTGCTGGCGCCTCTCCGGGTGGCCTGGAGTGACATCCGCCTCGCTCGCGCCCCTCCCCCGGTCCTCCCACTGACCATCTCCCCCCTCCCCCGCCGCTGCGCCTCCTTCACATGCGAATGTGCCCTCCCCC